CCCCAGGAGATTGTGATCTGGGTGGTTGCCAAACATCCACTGGGCTGTCCTGTCACCTCCTGACTCAAAGTAAGGAGGTCATCATCTTCTCCCAGGGTCATCAGTCCTCTCTCTCCTCTGCTCTTCCCCTGCCAGTTCCCTGCCCTTGGCCTCTCGGTCACCCAAACCACCTCTTTCTTGAGAGACTTCCTTTCTTAAACCCCTGTGACTGCCCAGCACTGCCTATCATTCATGCCTTGCCTAGGCTCCCACAGCCACTTCTCCCACCGAATCTTTCCTTGTTCCCAGAGCAGAGACTGCAAAAGTGTGGTCTGTGGGATGACAGGTTTTGTTTTTCCTCTAACCTTTTAGAAATCAGGAAATTAAAAAAAAAAACACACACACACAAAAACAACATAACTTGCTGATTTCTTTTTAAAATGAAAAAAATTTGAGGCTTCGCAGCCTGGGTGGAGGTCACTCTTGGGTAGAAAACAGCTGGAATTTGGGGTTGGTGGCTGGGCCCTTTGCTAGGCCAGGGGTCCCTAGTTCAATAGTCTTCACCACTCTTGCCTAGACTTCCCCCTTACTCATTTTTATCACCTCTCTGACCCTGGGGCCATTTGAGCCTGGGACAACCGTTTGGTGTTGACAGCCTCTCTGCTAAACTTCCCTCTGGGAGTGCTTTCTCTTTGCCTCTCAAATCCTCTCATCACTCCAGGTTCCACTCCCTTCTTCCCCTTCTCTCTGCCTTCTTCCCCAACCCCCAGAAATGCCTGCCTTCCTCCTGAACACTTACTCTCCTCAATCCAGTTCTTAGTAAATGCCTTCCACTGCCATTAACTCTGGTTCATAACTCCTGTCTAGATGGAGGGTTTTCTGTCTCCTGACCCCGCTTAAAACTACACGACTTACATCTTTCCCCTTCCTTTGACAGGGTTTAGGCATAGCCAGTAGCTGTCTTGGTTGTATTATTTGGGGGGTATGGGGGACTCCAGAAATGTACTTGATTGGCTTTCCAAGCAGCCTCTTAAAGTTCTGCTAGAATTGCTCCTTTGGGCTGCAATATTTAGTCCTTTGATTTGGTAGGAGAGCATCACAGAGAATGGACCCTGGAATTGGGCTGCCTGGTTTCATGTCCATGCCTGCCACTGAAGAGCTGCATGACCCTAGGCAAGGTGCTTAACCTCTCCAAGCCTCAGTTTCCTCCCATTTAAAATAAGCTGTTTGAGGATAAAGTGAGATGCCATCTGCACAGTGTTTAGCCCAGTGATAAGGCCTCAGTAGATAGTAGCTGTTACTCTCTTGTTCTGAAGTTCGTGCTGGGGCTCTGGGATACGTAAGATGGTGTGGGCCCTCAGGAAGCGTTTGTCCCAGCCAAATTTGGTGGCTCCAGAGAGTCAAGTACCAACATAGGGTTCTGCATAGAGCACAGGGGAGCACAGAGGTCACTGGGTGGTCAGGGACAGGGGAGGTGACTGAGTAGAACGTTATGCTGGGCAGCTGCAGAAGCACAGAGAAGGAAAGACATAGGGTAGTTGAGGGGGAGCATGGGGGAAGCGAGAGGGAAGTGTGTGGCCGGAGGTGCTGTGAGACAGAGAGGCCAGACCAGATTCCCAAGGGCAGGGTTGCTGGATTTAGCAAATAAAAATATAGGCCACCTAGTTAAATTTGAATTTCAGAGAAGCAATAAATAATTTTTAAAGTGTAAGTATGCCCTAGTTATTGCATGGGCGATACTTAACACTAAAAAATTTATTAATATTTTGTTGGTTATCTGAAATTCAAATTTAACTGGGCAGACTGTATTTTATGTGGCAACCCTGCTTGTGTGCCTGGTCTCCAAAAGGGCCTGCCAAAACGCAGACAGGTTTTGGTCATAAGAGGAAAAATCCTGTTAACTTGTTGTAGCAGATTTATTTTTGAGAGCAGCCTGAAAAGTGAAATGGGACATAAGGGAGGCCAGTTGAGGGGTTAAAAGTGGGGACAAAGAGGGCAGCGCAGCAGGACACACAGGGCTCTGTCTGGGCAGGCAGCAGTGGGAGTGCCTGAGTCCTGGAAGAGGGCTGTCCCCAAGGGAACTCAGGGGAGGCCTGGGTCCAGCTTGGAGCTGGGAGGGGTCTCTCCCACTTCCCACACTAAGCCCCTGAGAGGGACCTGGCTTAGCTGACTGTCCTTTTGTAGGGCTCCCTGTGCCCAGGTCTGGACTGTTGGCAAGGGCTGCGGCTCACAGGTGGGATTTGAGAACAGGAGTGACGGGGACAGTAATGGTGGGAGAGAAGACTCAGCTCTGGCTCTGGGATAACAAGTGTGGACCAGGAGTAGAAAAGAAGGACGAGGGAGGCCACAGGCTGCTGGGGGTGTTCTTTGGATGGTGCAGGCAGCAGGCCGTGTGGGTGGCCACCTGAGGGTACACCGTTGGGAACATAGCTTCAGGCGCCTTCAGTGGCTCCATATTGCCTACAGAACAAAGCCCAGAGCCCCCAAGGGGGGTGTCCAAGGCCCTTCACAGGCTGCTCTCATCACCTCACTCCTGCTCATCCTGACGACTCCTTTCCCACACCCCAGGCTCCAGCCACACCAAACCACCTGCAGTTAATGATGACAACCATGGCGGTCCCAATAACATTAGAGTACTTAATACCTTCCTGTTGCTTTAAGCGCTGTACTTGTTTAACTTGATTAACCTGCCTGGGGATCTTGTGAAGTGGCTACTAATATTATCCCAATTATATATTTGAGGAAACTGAGACACAAGAGGTCCAACAACTCACCCAGGTCACACAGCTAGTATTGGGTATAAGAGCCCCGGTTTGGGCCCAGCCTGCCTGGGAGGATAGTCTGCACAATTAAACGCGTCCTTGACCACATGCTACACTTTTGTGCTTCTGTGCCTTTGCATCTCAAACCCACATCACACAGGAGCTCTTTTGCGAAGTCTTTCCTGGCCATCCTCTTTCCCGCCAGCTACTACCTAACAAAAGGCCCGCCTGGTCCCCTTAATAGTTTGTATCATCTTTGTTATGACAGTGAATAGGTTTAAGTCATAATTATTTACCTTTCTGCCTCCCCACTGTGTAGTACCAACACTTGTGGAGCATTTGCACACCCACGCATCCATGTTTGTTTGTTTTTTTATTGGATCCTCACTGATGTTCCACAAGGCATGGACAGATAGTTTTATTAGAAGTCTGAGGCTGTTGATTGAATCTTTGGAAATCGAGACAGGCGTAAAGCAGCCCTGAAATGTTTCTGATTTTCACCTACAGAGTTAAGAAATAAAACCACCAAGGTCAGCATCAGTGGTTCTAGAAAAATGGAAAAGAACCACTGGTATTCATGAAGTACCAACTACATCCCTAGTAAAGGTGTGTGTGGGAGTGTTGTCATAGAGAAATATAAATAAGAAGAAAAACAATGGCCATGTATAGACCAGGCCTTGAGATTCTGTTACCTTCTTTAATCTTCCCAACAACCCCGATGTGGAGATAGTGGGGTTCCTATGTTAGAGAGGAGAGCAAGGCTCAGCCAGATCAGGAGCTTTGCTTAAGGAGCAAGAATTCAAACCCAGATCTGTCTGCTCTTTCACCTGCATCCAGGAAAGAGGAGAATTAGAGAAACACAAGATGGTCCTTGGCCTCTGGGAGTCTTGACCATCCTGGGAAGCGAGTATTGGAGATGAGTGCCTTAGGGGTTTAGAGAAGAGAGGGGTGCCTGGGTTGGTAGAAGTGGGGGAAGGGGCATTCTAGGGGCCTGAATGAACAAAGCTTGGAGGTGGTACAACCCAAGGCATGTTCCCAGATGGCACCAGTCTACGGTGGTGGTTTATTTTTTTATCTTTTATTTTTTATTGGGGAACAGTGTGTTTTTCCAGGACCCATCAGCTCCAAGTCGAGTAGTTGTTTCAATCTAGTTGTGGAGGGCGCAGCTCAGCGGCCCATGTGGGGATGGAACCGGCAACTTTGGTGTTGTGAGCACTGCGCTCTAACCACCTGAGCTAACCGGCCGCCCCTACGGTGGTGTTTTAAATGCCATGCTGGAGAGATTGGGCTACTAGTCATAACTTCTGAGCAAAAGCTATAGATATCTTGGAGCTACTGTTAGTCCTTTATCAGATATCCTGGCACCACGTGTGTGTTGGAATTCAGATTCTGTCTGATTTTACAAAGGTAATAATGTGGTGCAATGACATAGTGAACTGACCAACTCGGATGACTATCGCAAGCCACATGGGCATGAGCCTAAGTCAGAAGTCCTTGCAGCAGTCCCCAGAGGTCCAGGAGCTAGCCGTTGCCCTTGAGAGTGACAGCTCATGTATAAGGAGAGGAGGTTCACGTCGAGTGGGGACAGGAACTGTTATGGCCTAATGAAGCCCCATGGATTACAGAGACTAACTAGTCTCCCTTGTTAGAATGCCATAGACATAACTGCCAGGGTCCTCACAAAAAGTCCATACTCAGGGAGACCCCAAACCATGGATTCTCCACTTTCAGTTTCTCCTAGTCCAGATGCAGCTTACCATTCTGGGTCATTTTTACCATAAGAAGTGTTGCCTGGTTACGTATATAGTTGCCATACTACCTTCATCCAGTCTCCAGGGGAACAGGCTGACAGGAAGTTAACTGAAGGTCATTTTCTTATGCTTTGTTAACCCTTTTACCCACCCGTGTATATACCATGTATTTGGTAACACCTCCAGCCAGGTGGCACCTATATTCAGACATTAATATTCCTGCAGCAAAATGCATCAATAGTAACACGAAATGGGATAAATAAAGATTAAACGAACCTCACATCAGCTCAGGTCAGGTTTTGTACTAAATGAGTTACAAAACAACCTTTCAGTGTTCGGAGCGTTTGGAGTTGGCTGATTATTTGGAAAGGGGATGAGAGACCTTTGCATTTCCCTCCTCTTAGAAAATTGACATGAAAGAAGTGCACGTCGCCTGCCTGACCACTAGAGGGCCCCAGGTTCTCATTTTGTTCGGGCTCCTTGCTAATGGAGGTTTTCCTCGGTTCAGCTTGCAGATACCAGCAAGTTACCCAACCTGAAAGAACTTCTCCAGTCCTCCAGAGACAAAGACAAATGGGCCTGGGACCTGGTGAGCTGGATTTTGTCCTCAAAGGTCCTGACCATCCACAGTGCAGGGAAGTCAGAGGTGAGACTTTGCTCTGTAGGATCGCAGGTTCTAAGGACCTCATGCTGCCAGAACGACCTGGGCAGTTGTTGCAAATGTGGATTCCTGCCCCTTGCCCCCCAGAGATTCTGATTCTGTGCCTGGAGTGGGGCCCAGGAACTTGCACACTGGCCCTACTAGCTATGTGACAATAAACAGGCTTCTTGCTGCATTTCAGTACCTCAGTTTTCTCATCTATAAAGTGTGGATATGAATATCAGGTATACTTCCTGATACTTCCATCAGGGAAATCGCTGTGAGACTTGAATGAATTTTCGCTTTTAGAACAATGCCTAAGGGCACATGCTAAGGGCGCAGTAAATGTTGGGTATCACAAGCACGCCAGGTAATTCTGATAAGGGTAGACCCCTGACCACACCTTTAGAAACATTGGCCTAGTCCAGCTGTTAGAAAACAGAGAGGCAGAACCCAAAGAAATGGAAAAACCTCAGGCTTTGGGTTCAAATCCCACTTTCACCCACAATTGAGTCTCCTGTTTCCTATTTGTAAATTGAGAATATTAATAGTTATCTCAGAGGGGAGCTATGATAGAAAGTGTGTCATCCCAGCACAGTTTTTGGCATAGACCAGACATTCCAAATTTGGTGCCCCTTGCCTAGCCGGATCTCCCAGGACAAGCTGGGGTGACAAGGACCAGAGTGTGGGATGGCAGATCCTCAGTCTGTTGCTCTTTCCTCTGAGCAGCAGTAGGGGTTTATCTGTACTGTTCTTCTCTTAATTTTAATTTAAGATTATTCAATTTTATAAGCTCCTGCTAAAGACAAAAATCCTTCTTAAGTGGCACAATATTTGGTGTCTAGGGACATCCATCTGTGTGGGATGGTAAGTAACATAAGGAGCCCAGGAGCGGGAGTCAGGAGATCCCTATTCAGATCCAGGATGGGCTGTTAACTCCTAGATGATCTCTGGGTTTCACTTTTGTCTTCTGTTGACTTGAGATTTATTAATTCCTCATATGGGCATCACGCGCCTACTAGATATTGGGTGCTGTAGGTGAAGTAGATGAGGCAATGGCTCCTTGACTTTTGATTATGGATGAGTTCACTTCCATTAAAATATGGAGTGTTGGCACCCAGGATTATCAGCTGTTTATTGTGCCCAAGCAAGGACATTAAGGCTACCACGTGTCATCATTTTATAAAAGCATGTTTTAACACAAAAAAGGAGGATGGTCCTGACGGCAGAATAAAGGACAGTTCTTCCAAAGATCATGGATCATGGCAACCTTATAGCAATATAAATACCGATAAAAACCAGATATACGGAGGGTGCCAAAAAAAAATGTATACACATTTTAAGAGATTTATCTATGTATTACTTTTTATTATTTTTATTTTTTTATTTTTTATTTTTATTTTTTTAAAGTTGCAGAAAAAGGAGTTTATTAAAAGAAGAAATACATTTCAAGGAAACAGAAGCAGGCCCGAACAGTAGTAAAGAATGGCTCAAGGGCCATTATTAGAAAAGAAAGTACACTGCAAAGAGTTTGGAGCAGGCCCGAGAAGAGGCAAGGCTCAAAACGCTTATGTATTACTTTTTAAAGTTGAATTGAATTATGATAGCAATGCAAAGCATGACATTTGCTCAAAAGATGGCGTTAATTAAATGAATGCTAGCATCATCATGCGACAGGCAGGACAGTCAAAGAAAATGGTGGAAGCACAGTTGTCATTTGAGGAGCACAAGACCATTTTGAAGTGGTATTTGAAATTTGAGAATGTTGTGGAAGTATGACAACAACAGAGGCGTGAGTATGCAACAGAACCTCCAACACGCCTAACAATTGCACACATTCGTGATAAGTTTGAGATGCATGGTACTGTGTGTGATGTTCACAAGGGAAGATCCAGGAGGCCTCGTGCAGCAACAAGTCCTGCTTCTTCTGCTATGGTGTTGGAATAGTTTCACGCTCACCGCAGAAGTCTACCAAACAAAGTTCGCTGTAATCAGAAGTGTCTGGACGCTGATGGCAACCACTTTGAGCACCTCTTGTAATTGCAGAAGTCAAATGTGACTTGTATTTATCTTTTGTTATCAGTATATATTACAATTTTAATACAGTTTTCCTTTCTTAAAATGTGTATACATGTTTTTAGCACCTCTGTATATCTATTACATTGCCCTTATTTTTCTCGTTTAATCACAACCCAGAGAAAACTTTGCCACAGACTGGCTTTGGACTATGACTTGCTGTTTGGAAATAACTGAAATAATGTGATCTTTGCCCTGAAGAGGATTATTATCCCTTAGGAAGGAACTTACTCTTCTGTATCAATTAGCTTTTGCTGTGTAACAAGTCATCCCCAAAACCCTGTGGCTTAAAACAACACTGACTGCGTCTCATGATTCTGTGGGTTGGTTGGGTGGTTCCCCTGGCTTGCCTGGGGCTGGATGATCTAGGGTAGCCTCACTTCCATGTCTGGGGCTTCAGGTGGATGGCTGCTGTGCTTGGGGCCTTCTTCTACAAGACTCCCATCCTTCTGAAGCCTAGAGGGCTTATTGACATGGCATTGAAGTTTGAAGGGTTCCCAGCAGCCAACAAGGAAGGGGAAGCCCTTTTCAAGTCTGTTTGCCATGTTTACCAAGGTCCCGTTGGCCAAGGCAAGTCACATGGCCAATCCCAGATTCAAGGGGCGGAGAAATAGATTTTGGTGGAATTCTGCCTGCAAAGTCACATTGCAGAGGGGCGGGAGGAAAAATATGTGGCCATTTTTGCCATTTATCACACCTTTCTACCTCCTGAGATTATTGTAAAGATGGGATACAGGAAATAGATGTGACAGTGTTATGAAAATTAGAAGTGATCTCTATTTAGAAGGAGCAATGCATACTTTTCAGCCTGTTGTAGGGAAAAAAATTATTAGAGGGAAGCAGTTTTGAGTTATAAGCTCTGAGCTTATGTATAAATTGATGTCTTTATTCTTAAGAAACCAGTTGTTCTCATGAACAGCGTCTGTAGTACTTAAGCCCAAGGCTTTAGGAGGCCATTTTGGCAGCACATTTAGCAGTTTCCCAACTAAAACTGTGACTCCCTTTATGTTTTCAAGTTTGAAAAGATCCAAAAGCTGACTGGTGCCCCTCACACTCCTGTCCCCATGCCGGACTTCCTCTTTGAAATCGAGTACTCCGACCCTGCGAATGCCAAATTTTATGAGACCAAAGGAGAAAGAGACCTAATCTACGCCTTCCACGGGAGCCGTCTAGAAAACTTCCATTCCATCATCCACAATGGCCTGCATTGCCACCTGAACAAGGTGGGGCCTAAGCCTGCTGACATTTGGGGGGTGGGAGGGGGTCAGAGCTGGTGGGAGTGGGGAGGGGTAGGTTCACTAAGGCCTTGCCACTCAAAGTGTGGTCCACAGACCAGCAGCATCACCTGGGAGGCTATGAAAATGCAGAATCCTGGGCCTACCCTGGGCCTTCTGAATCAGAATCTGCATTTTAACAAGATCTCCAGGTGATTCCTATACCAATTACAGTTTGAGAAGCATTGATTTAAAGATGGTTCCCAACCTTGGCTGCACATTTAGAATTATTTGGAGAGCTTTTAAAAATCCCAATGCCTGACTATATCTCAGACCAATTAGATCAGAATCTCAGGGAGTGGGCCCCAGATAGCAGCATGCTTTAAAAGCTCACCAGGTGATCCCAGTGTGTGGCCAACCTTCGCTGCTCAGCATGGTCCCTGAACCAGTGGCATCTGTGTCACCTGAGAGCTTGTTGGATAAGTGGAATCTCAGGGCCCACCCCAGGTCACCTGATGAGAAATCGCACTCTAACGTGCTTCATATGCATGTTAAAGTTTGAGAAGCACTTCTCTAGGGGTCACTCCAACTGAGTCGGCCCTTGGAGAAATTGAGGGATGCACCAAGGAGAGGTCCTCTTTTTTAGGAGTCAAAACAGCGTCAACCACCTCTTCTTTGCCAGCACTTGTTTGCTACTCAATGAAATGGAGGAGGAAGAGTATAGACAGTAACCCAAAAAGACCACCTTAGCAGCTCTGTGGCCCTGGGAAAATTGACTTAAACTCTCTGGGCCTCAATGTCCTCATCTGTAAAATAGGACGCCATTAACCCACCTTCTGGTTTGCTGAGATGATTGAAACAGCTCCTGTATACAAAGGGCTCTTTCTGTGCTAAGCACCAAGGACACTGTTTTTTTAGGCTGATGGAGAGGGAATCTGGGGTGGTTGGAGTCCTGCAGCCTTCCCCAAGTCGTGGCAGCATCTCCCTTGTCGAGGGGCTGGCTCCCTGAGCCACCGGCTGAGATGTGGCTGGAGAGACTTCTCAACACTGCTGCAGCTGATTAGTGCAGTTGAGTTTCATTGAGGATGACGGGCTTGTTTACACTGGCTCTCAGCTGATTATTCCAGGCTACTGGAATCCAGGGCCTCCGTTTCACACCAAAGCCGGCCTGGAGAAGTTGCCTGCAGTTTAGTCTTCTACACCAAACCTTCGTTTCAGTGCTCTGAGAGTTTGCTGCTTAGCAGCATCTCATCAGAGTCCTAAGTTTCCCACTCTTACGCACCTCTGCTCATTGCTGCCTTGCTCGAGGCTCTCAAGTCTAGGGAAGGGCGTACACATAGTAGGCATAAGCGGAGAATGGATGTGGGTCTGATCAGAGGACATCCAGTGTCCTTGGAGAAGGTCTGTGTCAGCTTTTGAGACATGGGAACTCTGTCTAACCCAGCAAGGGGTTTCTCAAAGGCCAAGTAAAGGCTTGTTTCATTTCCCCTAAGCTTCACTAAACTGGCTTAGAATTGTGGAAGTCTAGGGTCATCAAAAGGACTTTTCTCAGTTCCCAAGCATAGGATGTTCAGTGAGCTGTTTGAGGCCACTCATCATCTTGAGAAACTGCTGCTGTGGCCCAAGAATAGCAATTGACTTTCAACTTGCATGTCAAATTCCATCCATTGGTAGCAGCTAACTGGAATGTTGCGTTGAGAAGGATTCTGAGTCTGTGTGAATGAGTGCCATGATGGATATTTTTATGTTGGCCACCATAGCTGATTACTGATGTCTACCATGGGCAAAGAATGTGTTTGCTGTGCCTGCTGTAACCTCCACTTGAGGTATTTTGCCTGAGATCCTGCCCCCTCACCTGGCATGCTTCCTCATGGAGGGCACCAGGTTAGCACCTACCACCAGGGAGCTGCTTCCTAGATTTTTGGACATTTTTGTTGGTCAGCACCAATATACAAGGGTGAAACTTACCCTGCCCCTCTTCTAGGCCTGCCTTATTCAGTTACTGCCTCTGGTCTGAGAGATTCATTTCTTTTCTAAGTAATGACTAAGGCTGCTTCCCCCTTCAGGTGGGATCCCCCTCCCGGTACATAAGGGTGTGTGACTTTGCTTCTGCAAGCCTGTCAGTGTAACCATACATTCATGTAACAGGAATTACTATATATATATACACTATGTTATAAGAGCCTGTGATGGAGTGCTCACTGCTCTCATGTACCAGGTGTCCTGCTCGATGCCTTATACACACGACTTCATTGAATCTTCATCTACCATCTTATGAAGGAGATACTGTTATCACCATTTTGTAAATTTAGAAACTGAGGCCCAGAGAGTTTATAGAACTTGCCAGCTTGTTCAAGGTATGGCAGGATTCAAACTCAGGTCTGTTTAATACCTGTGTTTTTCTCACTCAACCTTGACCACAAGAACTAGTAGTTTGCCTGGCTAGTTGGCTACATCCACAATCAGTTAAACTGTCATCAGATAGAAATGTATTTAGTAATAACCATATGATGATGTCATAGGATTTTTTGATCTTATGCCTTTTGCTGAGGGGAAAAAAAAAAGAGGCTTGAAAATTTTGTGTTTACAACTCTGTTGAAGAAAGACCTGTGACGTCTTGCTGTGCCGTTCTCCATTCACCAAGCCCTGTTTCTTTTCTTTTGACTTCTGCCATTCCAGACATCCTTGTTTGGGGAAGGGACCTACCTCACCAGTGACTTGAGCCTGGCCCTCATTTATAGCCCCCATGGCCATGGGTGGCAGCGCAGCCTCCTTGGCCCCATCCTCAGCTGCGTGGCTGTGTGTGAGGTCATTGACCATCCAGATGTGAAGTGCCAAACCAAGAAGAAGGGTGAGTGAGGGAGTACTCGGCCCAGACCTGGGCTGTAGGTCTCTGGGTGTACAGGTTCTTGCAGTTGGCCCAGTTGTTGGATGGAGCACCTATTCATTGCATACTAAGGGATGGGCTGAGTCCAGGGCAATGTAGGACAGGGGCCTGCCTTCAAGGAGTGAGCAGTCTCCTTATCGATTGAATACACAATGGAAAAGATATTTACTACAAGGCAGTGAGTAGAGAGTGCCAGTTGAGGGCACTCTCTAATGGGGTCCATGGGGCAGCTCAAAGAAAAGAGCAAGCATGGTGGGTCCAAGTGCTCAGGGAAAGCTTTGGGGAGGAGGTGAGATTTGATAGATGAAAACAAATGTGTGAGGCCAGAGTGTGGGCTCCTTGAAGGCAGGAACTGGGTCTCATTCACTCTTGGACACCTGGTGGCAACAAGGAGCCTGGTCTGTACTTGACATTCAGTAAATATTTGCCAAACGGAAGCTAAAGATGTGTGTCCAGACCTGTCCCTCTAGAGCAGCGGTTCTCAACCTGTGGGTCGCGACCCCTTTGGGGGTCGAATGACCTTTTCACAGGGGTCGCCTAAGACCATCGGAAAACAAAAAAGATATTTACATTACGATTCATAACAGTAGCAAAATTACAGTTATAGAGTAGCAACGAAAATAATTTTATGGTTGGGGGTCACCACAACATTAAGGGGTCGTGGTATTAGAAAGGTTGAGAACTGCTGCTCTAGAGTACTCTGGTGTGTGCTGGAGCCCCCTGGAGGGCGTGAGAGGCAACTGAGGCCATCGACAGTAAATCCCCCGCTCTCCTGGGAGCACAAGACTAGCTAGCCACCTCAGTCTACTCCCCTGATATGTCCCTTAGATTATTTGTCCTGTCCCCGCTGCTGTTTTGCCCACGAAGGCAAAAGAGTTACAGAACTGTCATTCTAGTCTCCTGAACTGGCCTGTTGGTTCCACTGAGAAAAGGAAAATTGAGAAAACTGTCTGTTCCTGGCCTCTAATGTAAAACAACTGGAATCCTGAGAAACGGGCCCAGGTCTGACGCAGCCTCCCAAACCAGACAGCATGAGTATTTGCATTTATAATTCTTAGGAATTTTGCAAACCGTGACATTAAACATCAAAACAAAACCTTGCAACGTCTGCTGTCACACAGCTTTGGCCTTCTGTTAAATTGCTAAATCTTTTTCATGTTATTAAAAGAAAAGTTTTGTTTTTGTTTATTTGTTTTTTTTAAACAAGCCTTGGTACAGAAGGTAGAAGATGTGTTCTAAGAAGCTCCAATCCAGAATAGATAATTTAAAATGTTTGCTGAGACTTGTCTAAGATCAAGTCCTGTACTTCGTCCCAGATTGGTTTTTTTTTTTTTTGTTAGATGGACACCAATCTGCTGCTTTCCTCACTCAGTTAAGTTTTTGCCCCCCTTGTATCTGTTTTATTTTTTTACTCCTTTTTTCCTCTTCCTGTCTGTCGATTCTCCTTTCAGTGTGCTTCATGTACACATATAGGCCCATTCCTCAGCCTGCGGGGGCGTCTCCAGCCCCAGGACCAGGAGGCCTGACTCTTTTATATTCATAATTGGCTTCTTTTATTATTGTATTCCACTCCCCCCTCCACAAAGCTGTACTTTACTCTCCCATTCAGATTCCAAGGAGCTAGATCGCAGGAGAGCAAGAATCAAGCACAGCGAAGGGGGCGACATCCCTCCAAAGTACTTCGTGGTCACCAATAACCAGCTCCTGCGAGTGAAGTACCTGCTGGTGTACTCACAGAAGCAGCCCAAGAGGTAAGGAGGACGGTCCCTGTGTGAGGACAACTAAAGGTTGTTTTCAAAGTGTTGAGTTCCTAGTTATCATCACCCTCTTTCCTAGCCTTAGGCCTCACCTGTGTGTAAAGTTTATAAAGCACCGTGCTAGACATGGTGAGGAGCGAGGATAAGGTTGAACAAGATGTGGTCCTCGCCCTCAGAGGATTGTATATTCTAGTGAAGAAGATAGAAAGAGATTCGTAAACACAAATAACAGGAGGGACTTGACTGAAGCCAAATTGGCTGCCCCAGCCGTGAAGCCCCACAGCCACCTTGGCTCCTGATTTCGGTCTGAAACCCACTGATGAGGTTAAGCTGAGAGGCAGGATGGTGACTGGACTCAGGCTGGGATTGTGTGCTGCCCAGCTTGGTCACTCCCCCTGGTGGCTGTTGAACTGCCATCTTCTCCTCGCTGGACCTGAGATGCTTCGTTTTCATCTCTAAAGTGAGGATGTTGAACCCAACAGCAGACGAGGCCTTCTGGCTCTCAGAGCATTGGTGGATGCCTCATCCCATCTCAGCGGTGTGGTAGGGGGGGTGTGTACAGGGTTTTCCAGGGCCAGGGGTCACTTTCAGATCTTGTCACATTGTTGGGGTCTATGATAGAGCTTCGCATGGGGATGAGCAGCAGGTGAGCAGGTAAGACAGGAAAGGGGATTACTTTTAATACTTTCTATTCCTGCTTGTACACACCAGTAGTTTCCATGCTTCAGGATTTCATAAATCAGTAAAATCCCATCTCCCCACTCTCCAAATTTGGGGAATTTGTATAGCGTTCTGGAGGACATTACCCTTTGGTTTAAAATCATCTGGCTTTTTGTACTTGAAAATTCCATTCCTTCCCACTTCTCCCTGGAGTGTCTCTTTGTGCACAGTTGGACAGTTTAGATCATCTCCCAGCGGACCAAAGAGGATTTCCCCACCAGCCATGAAGTGATAACTGTATGTGTCTAAACGTGAAAAGACTTTTGCTAAATAACCTGCCACCTGCTGCCATCTGGGCAAACACCTCGAGCGAGGTCACTCTTCTAGATACCAAAGTTCTGCTTAAGAAAAGACAGGGTAGAGAAGTTTCAAAAGGAGCAGCTATAAAAGAGAAGATCAGGATGAGCTCATTGCATAGCTGTCTTTGTACATTTAGAACATGTTTTGGTGAAAGGCGCCTTGGTGCCAGGGCAAACAGCCTCAGATTTCTTGAGCAGAGGAGAACGCACGAAGCTTCATTTCATGGCTCGATTCAGAGGATGAAATTCATCATTGCGTCTTCTTCGAGCCAGAAGTTGTTGCATACACTTAAAAAAAAAATGTTTTTCTCTTTTTGCCAACATCACTCTTCTTTCCCCCTGAAGCAGGGCTTCGAGCCAGCTGTCCTGGTTTTCCAGCCATTGGTTTACAGTCATGATATCCCTGTATCTGCTGCTGCTGCTCATAGTGAGTGTCATCAACTCCTCAGCTTTCCAACACTTTTGGAATCGTGTGAAGAGATAATCTTTCTGGGCCTGGTATGGGGGCCACCTCAGCCATGTGCCTTATGACAACTTGTTCTGTACCTCCTGTACCCCATGTCCAGCCAGGTTGAGCCTGGCAGCCAGCTGGGGAACCACAGGACAATTTTCATGTGCCATAAATGTATCAATTGCCTTTGATGATGCTCCCAGCCACACTCCGGCCAACGGGGACCACTGGTTCCTCACTCGTAGGTTTTGGGGAGCCCTCCTGTCTGCTCCTTCCTAAACAGTCCTAGGGAGTTGGCTTTTCCATCAGGGCCAAAGGAAAAAGTCTTACTGCATTTAAAAACAAAGTGTCCAAGCTGTCAGCGGTGTGTTTACAATCGCTGCTGGCGGACGTTGGCCTTTCTCTAATGCCTTCTGGAAGGTGGAAAATGTGTAGTGGGGACGATAAATCACTAGGCGGTTGCCTTGTTTTGACTTGAGACACTCAAGAGGAACAGTCATGTTTCTCATAAAAATCGGTGGGACCGTTTTTGAATTCCATCAGCCTTTGTCTATGAGTACAAAACATTTTTAGTTTTCTCAAATCAACAAACAGCCGCCTGCTACAGCCATAACCCCCATGCCCTACCATGGATGAGAAAGAAAGGAGTCAGAGACCTGATTAAAAAATGCAAACTTAACAATGAGCAACTTAAGTTGTCTTTTTCAAAAAATTCCCAGCTGCTGATTATAGCTGCTGGCCTGCCTCCTGATCTTGTTCTCATGAAGCTGCCTTGATTACGGCCTGCTAGCCCCAAGTGCTACGCTATAGGCCCTCTGTCGCTGCAGGCCTTCGGACAGAGGCGTGCCTCAGTGTGCTACAGATGTGCGTGGGCTGAGCCTCCTTCAGAGGGGTTGCAGGTCTTTGGGACTCAGCCTGGGCTTTATGTGTGCAGGAAAAGCCTCTGGCTGCCTAGAGAGCCATGGTTCTACTTCCTGTACTCTCTGCCCCTCCTTCCTGCCCCATTTCAGCCATAACGGAGCCCTGTCTGATTTGGGGGGAGCTTTCTATCAAGAAGGGGGAAAGTAATTTTTCTATACTTTGTGAAGTTGTGAAAAAGCCATTATCATGGTTTTTACATTGAATATTGGAACATTTCAAAAATAATAAAAGTATTTTCCTAATTACCAGGTCGCCTTTGTGACTGCTTTCAGCCTCAGCGTGAGTCTGCCATGTATGCCCTTTTGCTAAAAATCTTATCCTCTTTTTCCTTCCTTGTTTGAGGTGGCCGTTTGCTGGAAAGCACTTATCACCAGGATATCTAGTCGGTGTTGCAGTTCTAGTCATGCTATACCATATATGAGGACCGACTGTATGCTAGACACTAGAAATAGGGTGGGATCAAGGTCAAAATGCCCCTGTCCTCACTGACCTGACAGTCTGGCAAGGTGGGCAGATGGATAAACATTCTCAGGAATGAGGTTGGCATTATATAGTATTATTATAAAAGAGTTTTAGAAAATAGTTGGTAAAGAGTCTTAACATGGCCTGGAAGTATGGAAGTGACACATAATAGCACTGCCAGGCGCCTTATATGATTCCTTTAATCCTCATGACAGATAAGAAATTGAAGTCCCAGGGCTGGCCGAGTGGCTCAGTTGGTTAAGACCTTGCTCAAGAGTGCGAGCTCTGAGCAAAAGGGTTGCCTGTTCGATTCCCACATGGGCCCAAGCTGAGCTGCCACTGAGCTGCCAACAGGTGGCACGATGGCTCATCTAAAAAAAAACAAAAAAAAAAAAACAGGAAAGAAATTGAAGTCCCAGAGAATTTAAATAGCTCGCCTAAGGTTACTTGGCTAGGAAGTGGCAGAGCTGGGAGTTGAACCTAGCAGACTGGTTTCAGTCTCAAAACCATCATGCTCTACAATCCCCCAGGCTCCCAGAAAAGGTGATGTTCAACTGAAACTTGAAAGAGCCATCAGTATTAGGCTAAGAGATGAAGGAAGAGTATTGCAGACAGTTGGAACAGCACATGCAAAGACCTAGAGTTCTCAGTGGAGAAGCTAAAAGCAGGAGGGTTATAGGAAGAGGCTGTGGTGAGAAATGGGGCTGAAGAGGTGGGCAGGCACCAGATCATAAAGATCTTACATGCTGTGGGCTGGGGAAGACATTAGGTCTAAAACAAGGACTTTATATGATCAAATGTGGTGTTCTGAAAAGTCACTCAGGCTGGTGGGTGGTTGGAGATTGGATTTAGGATTATTTTAGGAGATTAAACAAACTGATATAATGGGGCTGGCCGAGTGGCTTGTTGGTTAAGAGTTGGCTTGGGAGTGCGAACTCTGAGCAACAGGGTCGCCGGTTAGATTCCCGGCCCGGGCTGAGCTGCTGCTGAGCTGCCAACAGGTGGCAGGATGGCTCAGCTTAAAAAAAAAAAAAGTTGGCTTGGGAGCGCGAGCTCTGAGCAGCAGGGCCGCTGGTTCGGATCCCACATGGGCCAGTAACGCTGTGTCCTCTACAGCTAAGATGGTAAACAACAGCTCGACCTGGAGATGGGCTGCCGTGGGTGGCTGGTGACCACGTAGGCTGCAGTGGGCTGCCGTGAGCAGCTGACAGCTGCCGTGAGCTGCCATGAGCAGCAGGTTTGCTGACAAACCCCCACTGGGCCAAGAGCTTCAGCGGGCAGCCGATGGAAAAGGAGACCAGATGGTGGTTCAGTTGGAACCACCTCACATCAGAGCCCCAGCTGCCTTGGTCTTGTGAAAGCAACACCATCAATCCTCTGTCACTAATGTCATTGTCGGGGGTACAGCTTTGGGAGGGGTGGCAAGTGGACCTCCACAGGTGAGGTATCTGCTTCTGAGAAGTGCTAAGAATGCCATGAGTTGTCAGTTTCCACCACAAAGGGAAAGGGTTTTATCCTGTGGGCTTTTGGATAAGTGTACATGTGTGTGAGAGAGACATGGAGTAGGGATGTGGTTCACTGTTGTTTCTGATTAATTCATTTCATTAAACACTTGATCGTCTTCCAAACCAGGAGTGGATGGGGAGTTTGTGATTTAAAGAGCCCAATTCAGATAGTTTTCTTTAGAACATGGCCCCATGCATCTGAGCCCATTCCGGCAGCTAAGCCCAGGAGGTTTGTGTTGGCTTGGAACCAGCAGCACTCACCCTCCCTGTTGCCAGGGTGATTCTCGGGTGGGGAGTGGGACTCGATTCAGTTCCTCTCACACACAAAACAAACCCAGAACCATGGCCCTCCCTAAGTCCCCTTTGCAGCCCCCACCCATCTCCCCACTCCTCTCATCTCCACCCTGCCCCACCTCATGAGTTTTCCATCTCTTGGCCTTTGTTTGTTTCTGCTTTTGTCAGTCTCTTTCCTCTGGATGGGTTTCTATTTATTTCCGAACTGTCTGGGGCTGTGCACCATGGAGACAGTGTCCCTGGCTGCCCCTAGCCCTGATCTGGTTAGAATAAGCCCCTCTCCTTTGCATGCATCTCCAACTTGACATTAGGAACATCCAAAACAAATCACGACATTCTGAAGCAAGATAGAAACCACCATCTCCACCTCCTCCTGCTTGCATTTTTATCCACCTGGAAAGGGTTTTTAGCAAATTTCCAGTGTTCCACTGCAGTGTCTATATAGTGCAGCCCTGAGAAGGAGAAACAACATTTATTGAATGCCTACTGTATACCAGCTACTGGGCTAGGCTTTACTTGGTGTTAAAAATCTGGTGGTGGGGCTGGCCGAGTGGCTCAGTTAGTTAAGAGCTTGCCCAAGAGTGCAAGCTCTCAGCAACAGGGTTGCTGGTTCGATTCCCACGTGGGCCAGTGACGCTGCGCCCTGAGCTGAGCTGCTGCTGAGCTGCCAACAGGTGGCAGGATGACTCAGCTGGTGAGAGCACATGCTCCTAACAACAAGGCTGCCGGTTTGAATGGTGGGCTCCACTCTCCCGCAGCTAAGAACTGGACTTGGCACCTTGAGCTGAGCTGCCACCCTGGGGGCTCAGCGGATAGAGGGTGTGCTCTTAACAACGGGGCTGCTGGTTCGACTCCCGCATGGGATGGTGGTTACACCCACCTGCAACTAATTGAACACAGCGGCACGATTGGACTTGGAGCTGAGCTTGCTGCGCCCTTCACAACTAAGATTTAAGGACAACAACTTGGCTGTTCCCCTTCCCCGATTCCCCAACACTGTTTCCCTCTCCCAATTCCCCAGTAAAATCAAGAAAAAAAAAATCTGGTGGTGAAGGTGATGTTTCCTGCATTAAAATTCAACCGCAGGGCCAGCTGAGTGGCTTGTTGGTCAAGACTTGGCTTGGGATGCCAGCTCTGAGCAGCAGGGCCCTGGTTCGGATCCCACATGAGGGCCAGTGACGCTGTGTACTCTACAGTTAAGATGGTGAACGACAGCTAGACTTGGAGCTGGGCTGCTGTGAGTCTCCGGCTGCGGTGTAGGCTGCAGTGGGGCTGCAGTGGGCTGCTGTAAGCCAGCATGAGTGGCCGGCAGCCAGCATGAGCTGCCGTGAGCCTCCGTGAGTGGCAGTCCAATGGCCAGCGAGCGACTGCCTCAGCCGGAAAGAGCGCAATGATCATAATACCAACATGGGCCAGTGAAGTGACGTCCTTCACAACTAGACTGAGGAACAAAAGGACAGCAACTTGTCTGTTCCCCTTCCCCGATTCCCCAATGCTTTTCCCCTCCTCAAATTCCCCAATAAAATCTTAAAAAAAAAAATTAACTATAAATTGTTGAAGGGCAGGGCCCATGGTTGGTATCTAAAATACAGTGTATCTAGGGCCGGCCGAG